ATGTACACCTATCTCTAATCATCTCTGTGAGCAAGAATTTATCTCAGCCTCCCTCCAGGTGCATCAGCCCCAAAGGGCCTGGACAGACCCTTCTGCATCTGTTCATACCTCAGTGCCCAGAGGTCACCTGAGGCCAAGTGCTCACCTGGTTCTGGGTGTCGAGTGCTGTCTCTTCCCTTCCACCGTCATACAGCAGGGCAGCATGTTTGTCCAGGTCCTAACCAGAGGGTCCACAGTGGTGCTACTGATCTGGCTCAACCGACTTCTAGTGACTCTTCTGTTACCTACATTCAAGCATGAGGATGCTTTATCATTCAATTCACTTCACCAACATTATTAAACAGCCAATTGATAATACACTGCATTCAAGTTTCTGTTTTTGTAATAATAAAGAAAAATGGAATTTTCAGAGATAACTGGACCTTAGTTGGTCCATTTACATGTCATGACACTGGGTTGAGTGTGGGTTGAACTGTCTCAGTTGCACAGGTGTGACATGTCAGGGCAGGAGCAGAGCAGGAGTTCCTTGCGCCATCTGTGATGATGTCCTTTCCAGTTCCCAAGGGAGATAGTACCACTGATCACAGTGATGATAATGCCTAACATTACTGGGTGCCTACTATGAAGTTCACATGCAAACTTATTACTGGGATCCCCAAATTACAGCTTTTCAGACTTAAGACCACAATGATGAGGTCATATCCTCAGAGTTACACTTTGAGGAAGATGGAGCTGTGTTCTGATCTTCACAACTACACACTCATCAGATTTCAGCCATGATCCCAGGATTTGGTGACTTAGGGACTCAGAACGGCAGCTCTCAGCGGCCTGATTAATGGGACCTACTTTGTAGAGCAGGGAGCTTCCCTCTGGCTGTGGTGAACTCATCCACCCTGCAACCCATTCACTCTGCAGGTCTATTGCCAAGAGTCCTGAAGTCCTCTCCCCCGCTATAGGGAGAACCATTCCAGTTAATCCAAAATTCACTGGTTTTGATTAAAAATAAATGGATACTACTAGGATATATGAGTCTGTACATTGCGACCAGGATGCTGACCAGCATTGGTCAGCTGAGGGCTTTCCACCAGCTGTCTCTATTTCAAGTCCTGAAGTGAATTTAGGCCTCTCAAAGCTCTCACCCAAGAAGAGAGTCTGCAGGGCCAGGATATTCTCAACCCAACTCAGCTTCCTACAAGATGAGCAGGATCAGGGATGATGGTTATTTCAACAATGATAGCAACAGATACCATCCGAAAAAGTTCACCCTGTGCCACTAATAGAGTGTGTGATCGCTTGGCATGGACATATCCTCCTCCATAGAAATCTTGGACACACACGGTTGGAACACGTCTCACATGAAGAAATGTTCACCCAAGTCAAGGTAGTCAATACAGCCACTCTACTGTACGGCAAACATTGTATTACACCCAATTTGTTCTGAATTCAATGTGATTACATTAGTTTATGCCTCAAAACTTTGGAATAGCCCAGTTTAAACATGTGATAAGGGAGAAGGGAAAAGGATTGGAAAGGGTATCTAATAATTTAGAGGTTCTTTGATTTGTGCTGAGCATTTGATAAATGTACAGACTCTGAAAGTAGAGGCATGCTGATCTATTATCAAAGCCACCTTCGGTCCTTGGTCACATCCCCCTCACTAACCAACTCCTTCTGCACTTATTCTGACCTGGAATAAAAGAGCTCTGGGCATGGTGAGTGGACCCCAGTGTGAGACCGAGTTCTCTGAAGGCAAGAACAGCATCCTCCTCACAGGGGGAGCCCCAGAGACAGACACTTTCCCGTGTTCCCTTTCATATTTACATACAAAGATTCCCCAAAATGCAAATCTCCACTTGGACAACTAGATGAAACTACTGTGCATGTTCACTTAAATTCATGTTATGACTCATCGTGGAAAATATTTTCTGAAATTAAGGACCTCACCTGCTAGCACAGATGTGGTTCTTTATCTTTCTGGTGGCAGCTTTCAGATAAGAGTGTCACATGGATTCAGCCACGACCACATGGAGATGCTTCAAGTGAGCACAGGACTCACCGTGTTCTTCTCTGTCTCCAGGTGTCCTGTCCCAGGTGATGACTCCCCAAGGTGAGTGTCTCAGATGTCAGACATGGGGCTATGTGGATGGCTCTGAATCGTGTGACTGACAGGGACCGACTCTCCTGGTCCCCGGGGTCCTGTTGCAGGTGCAGCTGGAAGAGCTGGGCCCAGGACTGGTGAAGCCCGTGATGACCATCGCCCTCACCTGTGCTGTCTCTGGTTTCTGCATCACAGCCATCTGTGGCTGGTGCAGCTGAGTTTTCCAGAGCCCGGGGAAGGGGTTGGAAAGGACGAGATGCATCTGTGATGGTGGTAGCACAACTTATAACCCAACATGCAAAAGCTGGAGCTCTGTCCCCAGAGACATGTCCAAGAACCAGTTCTCCCTGCCGCTGAGCTCTCTGATCAGGGAAGGACACAGCTGTGTGTTACTGCGCAACATGCACAATGAGGGGGAAGTCAGTGTGAGTCCAGACACAAACCTCCCTGCAGGGAGACAGGAGGGGCTGGGCTGCAGGGGGCACTCACAACCACCAGGGGCACTCACAACCACCGAGCTCCGGGAAGAGTGACAAGGATAAATACAGGGGGGCACCACAGGTGATTGTTGTTGTTGTTGTTATTTTGTCACTTTCTGAGATTTCCTTTTGTCCTCAAGGGAGCGACTCCGTTGGGACTCCCTTCCAGTTTCAATGGCACTTGTTTCACCTTCTCCATCACGGAGGAAGGAAGGAATTTCAACATATCTCTTTGTACCTCCTGATGCACCAGAGTGAGCAGAGTCCACTCCTTGGTGAGGCTCATGGAAAACCTGACCCCTTTGTTTCAGGCAGACCATTTGCACATCCCCTCCCTGGGGCTGGGAGGCGTTACCATCCACAGTGGTTTGTCAGAATAGAAACAGCAGCTCACGTGTGGAGGGATCGTCCTCCTTATCCCACTCTCTTTCCCACCTGGGCCCCAATCCTCGGAGAGACCCACACCCTCCAATACGTGATCCTGCCTCCTCTGATTGACTGGCGTCCGTTCTGACAGGATCCAAGATTCCCAGTCTTGGCCCATCTCTCCCTCCTCTTCCCATGGGTAGAAAAGCCCACTTGGTTTCTGGTCTCAGTATAATGTGATATTTCTCCCCTTGAAGTTCCTTAAGCTGCCCTTCTTTCCTGAACACATTGGTTTGTGTATTTTGCACCATTTATAATTCATTTGTCATGATTCCTAAAGACGGAGTCTGCCGGTAAAAATACATTTCCCCCAAGAATGGCATCAGGTGAAGGCCGGTTGGCATGCAGCAAGGCCAGGATGAAGTGGCCTCCCTGCTGAGGAACACAGAGCAAAACGACCCTGACCATAATGAATGCAGAGATCCAGGAGAGCCAGTGTGGGAAGGGGAAAGGGCTTGGGCTGGAAACTGACGGAGTCAGAATGGAGAAGTGTGTCTGAGGCAAGGTCCCTGATAGGAGGTCTTTGTGGAGGCACCCAGGCTGGGGCTGCAGACATGCACACAAGCACGGCTGGTCTCATGGGGAGAGGTTGCATCCTTGAGTGAAACTCCATCCAGAATATTGTCTTAGCCAGCTCTGCACCAAGTCGGGTAGGGGCTGCTTCCCACAGTGAGGCCTCCGGGAGCAGCCATGGAGCTGCCTGTGCTCAGGCTGAAAGATCCCACCCAGGTCTCTGGCCAGAAGCCAGGCTCCCAGCTGCACCCCTGATGCCTCGGGGCCTAAGATGAATCAGGGGATCCCCATAGGGCCTCAGTGAGTCAGAGATTGAGGGGCTGGGGGTCAGGGTCCTTTCCTCATGTTCAGGAAGTGATGACAACATGGCCGTGGCACAAGTGTACTTCCTCCTGCAATTGCTGCTCCTTGTGTGTGAGAAATGACTGGTTCTGGAGTTCGTTTCATTTATCTTCCGTAGAAACAGTAGCTATAAATACAACTCTTCAGGAGTCGTGGTTTAGTCTCTGACAATAACTGACTAGATCTATAAGTACAAAAGTGAGTTTATGAATAATTTGGAGATTTTTTCCTTCATCGCTTACAAATAGCTGTTAAAATGGTTGTACCTGATTACCTTTCCCCTAGAGTGTAATGGATCCATATCACAATGTGCCCCCATTTAATAATAAAATGTATAGATTATTTATTTGCATAGCCTCACTCATATTTCCTGACTACGCATTTCATCTGGAATCTTGCCTTCTCTACTGGCATGTTTATCTTCAGGAAGAGACTACATGTAAAAGCACAGACCCACTGTGGAGAAAAGTAGAAGACAGAGAGCACGTGCGGATCTTGTGTTTGTCCCCACAAGGGCCTCCCTTGAACACCATTCTTTGTGTCCGGGAGCAAAAGACAGAAGATAAAACTGATGAGAAACAGCTCGCCCCAGAATTCGTATAGACGCTGTGTGTTGATGGTGTATGAGGTGCTATATAGTCCAGCTTACATCACGAGGTCACAGGATGGGTGCAGCAAAAAGCTGATGGACATCCCATACAAAAGCCACAATAAACGATGTAACAGCTTCTAAAGAGAATGAGAACCCCATCCCAGGAGAGGGTACAGGGAAAGTCGGCATCAGCTGTTCTGGAGTCAGAACAGAGGAAGGAGACCCAGGCCCTGAGTGGATAGGGGAGAGTTGAGTCGAGATCAGGGAAGGGCAGGAGGAAGGAGGGCCTGGAAGGAAAGAGTCTGGGCACAAAATGGTAGGAACCAAATTTGACTTGTCTTAAGGATTCTCAGATACCAAATATCCACTACCTTCCCTTCTCTGGCTTACACAGAAGATAAGTACAAGTGTAGAGACACCCACAGGGGCTGTGGAAGGATCAGGGTGAGCCTCAGCTCGGTTCCTCCCCACTTATAAGGACAGGGCTCCCCACATGCAAATTTCTCTTCAAGCTCTAGCGTAAAATCCACTCTTGGGCTGTGGGAGCTCACAGCTTTCTCCTAAGATGAGGCTGAGGTCTCTGGGGAAGGCAGAGTGTAGTCTAGAAGAAGATGAGGCTGTTGGGTCTTCTCCTTTGCCTGGTGACGGCTCCCCAAGGTGAGTGTCTCTGTTCTAAGACCTGGGTCAACGGGAATGGCTGTGACTGCATGTGACTGATAGAGACTGATTCTCTTTGTCCCCAGGTGTCCTGTCCCAGGTGCAGCTGAAGAAGTCGGGCCCAGGACAGGTGAAGCCCTCACAGACCCTCTCCCTCACCTGCACTGTCACTGGAGGCTCCATCACAAGCAGGTATTATGGCTGGAGCTGGATCCGCCAGACCCCAGGGAAGGGGCTGGAGTACATTGGGAGCATAGCTTATAGTGGTAGCACTTACTACAGCCCATCCTTCAAGAGCCGCGCCTCCATCTCCAGAGACACGTCCAAGAACCAGTTCTCCCTGCAGCTGAGCTCCGTGACCACCGAGGACACGGCCGTTTATTACTGTGCAAGTGACACAGTGAGAGGAAGTCAGTGTGAGCCCAGACACAAACCTCCTGCATGGAGACAGGAGGGGCTGGGCTGCAGGGGATGCTCAAGGCCGCCAGGTGGCACTCAGGACCACCAACTAGTGCTAAAGACCCACAGAGCACAGAGACTGCACCCAGGAGCAGGTGGAGAGGAGGGATGGGGAAGAATCTTCCTGTGACCTCAGGGATTTCCTCTCCAAGCCCTCAGGGACACTTCAGTTTCTGTTCTTCTGGCTCTGTTTTCTCATATGCTCAGTGCAGCCAACAAAGTTGGAGATAACATTCTCTCTTGAAGATGAGATTTCTTCTAGAGAACTTGTTTCAAGTTCCTAGAGGCTCTGATTTTTTGTCTTGACAAAGGCAACACACTGAGGATTCTCATCATCCCTGAGAAACCAGCTCGTCTTCTCTGCCCTCAGAAGGGCCCACACTGACATCACACGTAATGCAAATCCCCCTAGGACATCTGCCCCTTGGGTCTCTTTCTTCTCGAGGCTACAGTTTTAGTCTTGCTCATTATCTACTTGGGTGGACATTGATATCAGGGACTGACCCCTTTCGTGGCTGCCTCTCAGTCTCCTGGACAGAAAAGCAGCCCAGCTAAGGGGAGGCAGCCCTCAGCCTTCTCCATGAAACAGACAGGATGATAAACAAAGAGATGAAAAAACATCACAGTCATTCTGAGTCCTGTTCTGGGTGGGTCTCTGAAAGCAGCCCTGGACTGGGTCTCTCAGCTTCCACAGGAAAATCCAAAGGGATTATGAGAACCAGCTGGTCAGAGTCCTGATCCTTGCCCACTCTCAGCTTCCCTCCATCATCCCACAGAAACCCACCCACGTTCGCCCTCTGTTTCCTGTTTCTAAATTCTCACTGAATCTCTCCTAGACCCTGACTCCATCAGGCTGGAGCCTTGATCATTCTTGCCCCATCCCTCACTGAGTTTCACACATGGAGTGAGGCTTGATAACTAATCTCAACAATGATGTCAGAGAGTACAGTGGTACCGACTGGGGAATATGTGACTTAAATTATGCTTCAGCAGCAAAATTGAACATTGACAACAAATGTTCTTGTACCACAGTACGAGCCATGAAATAAATTTGGACTCAAAACTTCAAGCTTTTTCCGTTGGAAGGACAGTTTAAAGAGGATGAAAAGACGCACCGTTGTCTGAGCTAACAGTTCCTCTGTGGTCCTTCCTTTTCGCTCGTCTGTTGACTCTGGGGTTCCCTAGAGATGCTTAAATGACTTCTGAAATGCACACTGTCTTTGAGCGTCTTTGCCTTCTTATCATTCCAGACCCCTCTGGATGCAGGCATAAGTGTGGGGTGGGTGAGCCTGCTCTGGTCAGTGCTTGGTCTTTCTTTTCAACAGCCTGCAATTCTGACGCTGATAATGGCCCTGATATCAGTTTCCCTACATTATACCCAGCATCTATGGTGTTAAAACCAAAGCTCTCATTCCCTGCTTACTCCCTGGCTTGGATCCTGAATCCACTGTACCTCCATGGAGACAAATGGCCAAGGACAACCACCTGGATGTGTTGTCTTCTCCTTCTCTTCTCTGTAAGTAGTCTCAAGGCCAAACACAGGCTGGTGGAAAAGCTCCGTCCAACAAGGCCACATGCTTCCCCTTCCCCTACCCAAAACCCCACATGAAAACCCTTCCTTTTAGCTTTTCAGGGAGTTTGGGAATTCAGCAT